GTCCCCCCCACTTCCGTTCCCCCTTCAAGTCCCACCGTCCCACCCACTCCATGTCCCGTCAATTTCCCCCCTTTACCCCCCGGCCCTCACTATCCTCTCAAGTCTCCCCTTTACCCCAGACTCTCTGTATCCTATCCTCATCTCCCTTACCGGGCAACACGCCTCGCCGATTCTGAGCACGGACCCGAAGCCTTTCCCCACCCCCTGGTGATCGACGGGATCGCTGTCCAATGGGAACTCAGGAGATCAAGCCCTTACGCATGCTCGGGACACGACCGCGTTCGCAGCCCGGATGTCATCGCACAGCCTTGTGGGGGTTGTAGTTCAGAACGCGGAGGGAGCGCCGCACCACAGGAGGGTCAGTACTGAAGGAATGCCGTATTGTCGGGGGTTGCCAATCTGTCTAATAAGATGCATCTTTGCTTTCTCCTATGTATGTAAGGAACGTTATTTACAGCTTTTGTGCACAACGAGGAAAGCTGGGTGTTGTGAGCTTTAACCACACAGTGAGGCCATTGGCAGACAAACAGCCTGCAGCTGAGGTAGAGAGGAAGGTCCCCTTCACATTAGGGAGGCAGGGCTCATTGATTCACTCCACAGCAAAGTAGGAGCTCCAGCCATCAGATTCTTGCTCCATGGCTGTGTAGAGATCTAGAGGTAATCTCTCCAGTCTCCCAGCCAATTTGGTGCATCAACCAGCAATGTCCATCATTGCTGTTTCTCTAAGTTACGTTTCTAAATTAATGCCAATAGATTTTATGCCAGCAGATTAAGGATCCCTGTTCCCTAAGCTTTGTGCAATTTCTGTGCTTGAATCTTCAGTTACACCTGGGCCAATATTCAAGTTCTGGTTAAAAAAACAACACACGAAAGAACTGCGGATGCTGTAAATCGGGTACAAAAACAAGTTGCTGTAAAAGCTCAGCAGGTCTGGTAGCATCTGTGAAGATAAAACTGAGTTAACATTTCAGGTCCAGTGACCCTTCCTCAAAGTTATTCAAGTTCTGGTCATTGCTTGGTACTTATCCACAGGAGCTTCCTGTGTGCCACTTGGCTGCTGTGATTCCTTTGTTACTGTACCACCCACAAAATAACTTCACTGGCTACAATGTTTTGGTTCTGAAAGGTACTATACAAGTGCAAATCTTTTTCTTCAGTCACTGTTTGGACTTGCATATGCATAATTGCCTAGGCAGGGTATTAGCATCTCAAACTATGATTCCTCTCTCTGTCCTGTGATAGCCCAACCAAAATGGTACCCTCCGGTCTCTGAATGGAGCTTGAGTTTAAACTGTTTTCAGCAGTATGCTATTTAAATAGAGAGAGCACAGAACTCTGAGATACTGAGGGAACTTGGCATCCTGGTGCTTGAATCACATATAGTTAGTCTGTAAGTACAGCAAGTAATTAGGAAGACTAATGGAACGTTGCTGTTTATTGCAAGGGCAATGAAATATAAATGTAAGGATGTTTTGTTGCAGCTGTACAAGGCACTGGTGAGATCACTTGGGTTATGATCAGGGTTTGATCTCTATATCCAAGATCACTTTTGGTCTTCTTTTGGAATACTGCATATAGTTCTGGCCTTCCTTCTATAGGAAGGATGTTGTTAAACTTGAGATGGGCAGAAAAGATTTACAAGGATGTTGCCAGGTTTGGAGGGTTTGAGCTTGGGGGAGAGGTTGAATGGCTGGGGCTATTTTCCCTCAAGTGTCAGAAGTTGAGAGGTTCCTAAAATCATGAGGGGCATCGATTGGGTGAATAGTGAAGGTCTTTTTCACAGGGTAGGGGAGTCCAAAACTAGAGGGTGTAGGTTTAAGATATGAGGGGAAAGATTTAAGGAAGTCCTGAGGGCCAGCTTTTTCATGCAGAGGGTGGTGTGTATATAGAATGAGGTGCTAGAGGAAGTGGTGGAGGCTGGTACAATTACAACACTTAAAAGGCATCTGAATGAATTTATGAATAGGAAGGGTTTAGAGGGATATGGGCCAAATGCTGGCAAATGGGACTAGATCAAATTGAGATATCTGTTGGCGTGGACAAGTTGGATCAAAGAGTCTGTTTCTGTGGGGTATGACTCTATGACTCCTAATTTGAGAAAAAATATAGTTGCTTTGGAGGCAGTTGAATCATATAAGATGTAGGAGTGGAAGTATCCCATTTGGCACAATTAGTCTGCTCTCTTATGCTTACGCTTCTAAACTCTATCAAATACAGGCCCAGAGTCCTCAACAGCTGCTGATATGACCAGCCCTTCATCCTTCTTTCAAGGCCTACACATCTGAGATACAGGGCCTAAAACTGCTCACAATATTCCAAATGCAATCTGACCAGAGCCTTACACAGCCTCAGCAGTACATCCCTGCTCTCTGAGATTGTGGCTAGGAATTATAGAAAGAAATGCTGCACTTTTTAAAACCAAGTCACTGAAACTTGCTGTGTTTGGAGTTTACCCAGCTATGTTGCTCAAGCAATGGGGAAGCTGTTTGTGATAGCCTAGCACCAGGAGCTTTATGCAGAGTGCATTTTGTCCAGCAACAGGTAGCTGATAGGTTTGTGCAGTTGTCATCAATCATGGATGCCATAGATGATAGCCTGACAACAGTTCTATAATCGGTTCCTGGGTCACTGATCAGCTTGTGGGTGTGAATGATACAGTTTGTTTAAAGAAAGGCTTTTGCACTACTGAAAGGGCAAATGGTGTGCTGTCTTCTCTGCAGTAAAAATACTTGAAGTCTGAAGAAAGCCAGCTGTTTTCTCCCACCAGTTGCTGTAAGCTGTTGGCCTTAACCTTTAACTAAGAGACTTGGCAGTTAATGTACCAATCACACTCAGCATTCTGTAAATTTCAGTATGATTCCCTCCCCCACCCACCTTACCCTTCTAAACTCTATCAAATACAGGCCCAGAGTGCTCAACAGCTGCTGATATGACCAGCCCTTCATCCTTCTTGTAAACTTTCTCTGGACTCATTTCAAGGCCAGCACATCTGAGATACAGGGCCTAAAACTGCTCTCAATATTCCAAATGCAATCTGACCAGAGCCTTACACAGTCTTAGCAGTACACCCCTGCTCTTGTATTCTAGCCTTCTCAAGATGAATCCTAACATTGCATTTGCCTTCCTAACTGCCAGATGAAACTGCACATTTAAGAGAATCCTGAGCTAGGATTCCCAAGCCCCTTTGTGCTTCAGATTTCCGAAGCCTTTCTCCATTTATAAAGTAGTCTACACCTCTATTCTTCCGAGCAAAGTGCATAACCTTGCACTTTCCCACATCGTATTCCATCAGCCACTTCTTTGCCCACTCTCCTGTTGCAAAGAAATGAAGGAGCCTGGAAAAAGTGATTGAAGACCAAAGTTCTAACAGGCCAAGAATATCATCATAGTGAACCTAGTGGACTGGTGCCATTGAACTGTGGTTCCCAGCTTTTTGTTCCCCTCCACCTATGAATCCAAGTATAGTGTTAGTCTACATCCATCTGTACATGTAACGGTTTTAAAAGGGGATTAGAGTTTTGACTAGTAGAGCCATATGTTGATATGACATTACAAAAAAACCAAAGAGTTGCAGATGCTGGAAATCAGAAACAAGACAAATGACTGAAAAAAAATACTCAGCAGGTCTGGCAGCATCTGTGGAGAGAAAGCAGAGATAACGTTTGGGCTACAGTTACCCTTCTTCAGAAGTAATTGTAGCTCGTAAAAGGTTGGTATACATGCTGAAGGTGGGGTGGGGGAAGGAGGAAGAGTAAATGATAAATGGAGATGGAGCCCAAAGAGAGAGAGAGAACAACAGGAGGACAGATAAAGGATTGAGTAAAGGTCAATGTGGGAGAATCAGTAGCTGCTAATGGGGTCTGTTAATGGCTAACAATGGTTTGTGGTAGCAGCCCATTCGATGACAAGTTCTGTTGTGTAGGGATTGAGGTAAGGTGGGACATCGGACAAGGTGCTCAGGCCCTAAAATTATTGAATTCGATATTGGGCCCTGAAGGATGCAGCGACCCCAAGTAGAAAATGAGATGCTGTTCTTCCAACCTGTGCTGAGCTGGATCATCCACATAAACACAGTCACTACAACAGCAGGTCAGAGGCTCAGAATCCTGCAGTAACTCACCGCCTGACTCCTCAAAGCCTGTCCACCATCTACAAGGCACAAGTCAGGAGTGTGATGGAATACTCCCCACTTGCCTGGATGGGTGCAGCCCCAGCAACACTCAAGAAGCTTGACACCATCCAGGACAAAGCAGCTGCTTGATTGCATTCACATAAGCATCCACACCCTCCATCACCGACACTTAGTGCACACTGCTGCTACTATCTACAAGGTGCACTGCAGAAGTTCAAAGATCCTTTGACAGCACCTTTCAAACCCACAATCACTTCATGATCTTATGGGTAAGTGTGCCCCTATGGTTGATAGAATTGAAACCTAACATACATGATGGAAAGTGTGCTAACTTTACGTAAACACCAGATCAACTTACTGTGAAAGGAGGAAGTGAAACTAGAGTGTTGACTAGGTAAATGGCTGATACTAACGCTAATCTGACTTCTGTGATTGCAAAAAGGAATAAATTAAGGTTGATAAGAGGAACCATGGACACAGATGTCTTCTATTTACATGACTCTTGGATAGATAAGCTCAGAGCTACAAGTGTCTTGTGTAAGGGCCATGTCACCGAACAGTCTGAAACACTGGGAGAACACATAAAAGAAGACACATCGAAGACATCAACAGTGACAACTTGAGATCAACTATCGCAAAGAGAAGACCCTGAGTTTGGAATTCCGAGAAGACTGACTTGTCAGAGCATTAGTGTTTTCTAGATTCTAGTCAAACAGTTAGATCATTGTCGATTGTGTGCTTACTGAGAACCAAAGAGTTACTAATAAAGAGAAATTATATTGAATTCTATTTTGGCTGGCTGTCCTTTATCTGTCATGAAATTTGAGATCCTAATGAAAAAGGGTTCAACCGCTAGAAGGACAAGGGCAGCAGATACATGGGAACACCACCAACACCTGCAAGTTCCCCTCCAAATTGCTCACCATCCTGACTTGGAAATAAATTGCCGTTCCTTCAGCTTTGCTGGATCAAATCCCTGGAATTCCCTCCCTAAGGGCATTGCGGGTCAATCTACAGCACGTGGACTGCAGTGGATCAAGAAGGCAACTCACCACCACCTTCACAAGGGCAGTTAGGGACAGGTAATAAACGCTGGCCCAGCCAGCGATCTGCACGGTCCAGGAATGAATAAACCAAACAATTTCACCCAGTGGATAACAAGGTGAGAGCTGGGTGAACACAGCAGGCCAAGCAGCATCAGAGGAGCAGGAAAGCTGACGTTTCGG